CCCCACCTTTGGTAACCAAAAACAACTATTCATCCCCTACGGGTCGTTCTAACAGCCGCTACCCCAATCAGTCAAAGCAATCACCCCAGGTCCCATCATCAATAACAGCCCATTTCGCTTCTCATACAAACGCTATCGTATTTCTCCACGTCACTCTCTTTCAACTTTCTTCCAAAAGCACAACTTAAAGTGCATTTTCTTTTTTCTTAGCTAGAAGCCTCCATCAGAACTAATAACTGATCATGCACCTCTGCGTGCACTTTTGTACAGAGCTGATCTTACTGGAAGGTTTGCGCGTTATCAGGTCACTATTCAAGCATACAATCTGGCGGTCAATTATCGGTCAGATAAACATAATTCTTTTTGCGAGGGATTATCTCGTTTGCCGGCTTTCGACGCCGATGATCCGTCAAGCCAGGTAAACCTTTTTCTTAATATTTCCAAGTTCTTATGAGAAGTGCACAGCTGAATGGGCTAGAAATATGCAGCTCAATTCAATTGCATGCATTGAATACTTGGGAAATAATATTTTGCCATCTCAAACAGTTTGAACTGACCAAGTAAAAACTCAAGCACTGGATATGCAAATTATTGATGGCTTACTCTATCAAAAATCTGGTCTCACTTATGAACAACCGCGTTTAATTGTTTGGAATGAGAAAGCCCAAAATGAACATATCATTTATTTTCATTTTAGCAAATTTGAGGGAGGTCATTTTGGTATTGATAAAACGCTACATCATCTTAATAGCCGTTTCAACCTGATATGAAAACGATGGTTAAACGCGTTGTTCAGCAGTGTTCAGTTTGTTAACGTATTAAATCACCTCCACAGTATTTGGCCCAGCAGGAAATGTTTGAATATCTCACGCCGAATCTTCCGTTCGATCGCGTACACAGCGATATTGTGGGACTTCTTCTTGTTTGCACAGATGGTCATCGCTATATATTAACGAATACTTGCGCCATGACTAAATTTCTAATACTTACACCATCAGAAAACCAAGCAGCAGAGAAAGTTTCTACTGCCCTTATTGACGTCGTTTGCAAACACAGTATGCCTCGTATTTTGATTACCAATCGAGAAACTAATCATTTAAGTCACACCTTTACTGAAGTTTGTAAACTATTAGGGATTGAACATCATCCCTTGATTCCTTATCATCACGAAGCCAATGGACAAGTAGAACGTTTGGTTAAAATTGTTATCGACACTCTCGCAGCATATGTCGTAAACACGAAAGAGGAGTAGGCTGTTCATCTGCAGCTGGTTGCATTTTTATATAATTCAATGAAGCAACTCTCCAGATTCCATTATTTCTTGTCCAAGGCAGGGATCCAAATTTTATTAGCGATTTAACTCTCCGTA